TCAAAACTAAATAAATACAAGTTGAAACTTACACTTGAATTTTTTTTTTGAGTAAATCATTGAACACTTATCTGTGCCTTTATCCCCTTTACTCTCATCTAAATAAACTGTAGGTACTAATCAAGAAACATACTCCATAAAAGGACAGAGGAGTTACTAAGGGTATGCCCCAAACTGTATTTTGAGATGATGGAATACAGTGTATTGACACCTTATGTTTTGAAAAGGGTAAAAATATAAATAAAAAACATGAGCTTGTATTGTAAAATGTTGATCTGTTGCTGCCCAGGGAAGCTGAGGATGCCGCGTTCCTGGAAGTGCTCAAGGCCAGGTTGGATGGGACCCTGAGCATTCTATGATTTTTACCCAACTAGTTAGTTTGAAGTAGTTGGTGCTTGCTTGAAGTTTGACAGATACAATCTTGCTTGTTAAAGCTCAAGAGCACGGTCAGCCTACATTTTAGGAATTTGTTCAGGTGAGCAGGACCTTATTCCTTCCAAAAAACCCTCTTTTTCTAGTTTTGGAGAGAGGGGAGGAGAGAAAAGAGATGTCTTGTTCGCACATAGGTGCTGTTACTGTTCTTGGTGGCTTCTTGGAGGCCCAAACCAAATAATGCAATACAGTTTGATTCATAAAGAGTTATATTACTCAGCCTGTGGCTTGCTATGTTGGCTTTCCAGCATTTCCAGCTCATACTCCTGTGAGGTTGTTTGTTGCAGTTTAAGCCATATGTTGGACAACATACACTTGTGATAGTTCAGAAAGACCGGTACATGGGCTAAACAGGGACCTTCTCTTGGATATAGGGCAAAAAAGGAAGGCATACACCCAGTGAAAGCAAGGTTAAGTGATATGGGAAGAATTCAGAGATGCTGCTTGCCACTGCAGGGAGAAAATTGGTGCAGCCAAAGCTCAGCTGGAGATGAAGCTGGTCAGAAAGGTGGGAGGCAATAAAAAGTTTTTTCAAATACATTAATGACAATAGGCAGTATAGAAATATCATTGACCTGTTACAGGATGAGGATGGTCACCTCACAAACAGGGACAGAGACAAGGCAGAGGTGTTTAGTGCTTTCTTTGCCTCTGTCTTCAACATGATGAAGGACCAGGGGGGTCTCAGTGCCTGAGCTGGAGGATCATGACTGCAAGAACAATTGATCCTGAAAGTGTGTGGGATCTGCTGCTCCAGCTGGATCCCTGCAAATCTATGGGGCCTGATGGGATTGATCCCAGAATCCTCAAAGAGCTGGCTGATGTTATCGCAAAACCTCTAAATGATTTTTGAGCAGTCTTGGGAATCCAGATAACTGGAAGCCAGCGAATGTTGTCATGATTTTCAAGACGGGCAAGAAGGAGGACCCTGGAACTCCAAGCCTGTCAGTCTCACTTCAGTGCCTGGTAAAGTTATGGAGAAGATTATTCTGGGAAGTACTGAAAAACACACAAAAGACAACACAGTCATTGGTCGCAGCCAGCACAGCTTCATGAGAGGAAAGTCCTGCTTACCAAACCTGATTTCCTTCTATGACAAGGTAAACCATTTAGTTGATCAAGGGAAGCCAGTTGATGTAATCTTTTTGAATTTCAGTAAAGCCTTCAGTACTGTCTCTCACAGGGTCCTTCTGAACAAAATGTCCAGCACACAGCTGGATAAACACATCATGTGGTGGGTGAGCAGTTGGCTCACAGGTCAAGCACAGAGGGTAATAGTGAATGGAGTAACATCAGATTGGTGACCTGTCAGTAGTGGAGTTCCACAGGGCTCCATCTTAGGCCCTTGCTCTTCAACATTTTCATAAATGACTTGGAAACAGGACTAGAAGGGATACTAAGCAAGTATGGAGATGATACAAAACTGGGAGGAGCTGCTGACTCCCTCGAAGGCAGGGGGGCCCTGAAGAGAGACCCTGACAAACTAGAGGGCTGGGCAATCACCGACCATATGAAGTTCAACAAGGGAAAGTGCCGGATTCTGCACCTGGGATGGGACAACCCTGGATGTTCGTACAGACTGGGGAATGAGATACTGGAAAGCAGTGCCACAGAAAGGGACCTGGGGGTCCTGGTCTATGGCAAGTTGAATGAGTCAGCAGTACCCTGGCAGCCAGGAGGGCCAACTGTGTCCTGGGGGACATCAGGCAAAGCATCGCCAGCCAGTCGAGGGAGGGGATTGTCCTGCTCTGCTCTGCAGTGGTGTGGCCTCAGCTTGAATACTGTGGCAGTTTAGGGCACCACAATATAAGAAAGATATTCAGCTATTAGAGAGTGTCCAAAGGAGGGCAACAAAGATGATGAAGGGCCTTGAGGGGAACCCGTATGAGGAGTGGCTGAGGTCATTCGGTCGTCTGTTCAGCCTGGAGAAGAGGACACTGAGGGGAGGCCTCATTGAGTTCCCCTCATTCCCCTCATGAGGGGAAGAGGAGGGGTAGGCGCTGATCTCTTCTCTGTGGTGACCAGTGACAGGACCTCCTGAATGGCCTGAAGTTGTGTCAGGGGAGGTTCAGGTTAGATATTAGAGGAATACAACCACATAGAGGGTTGTTTTTCTGTAACTGAGATACATCTTTTTTTTCCCCCAAAGCTAATCTACAGATCCCCAAAATGGGGAGCAGTTCTATTATTAAAAAAATAAAAAGTCAACCAAACAAAAAAAACCCAAACCCTTAAGAATAACATTTCTTCGAACCTTTTAATGCAGATATTTCATGTAGTGTTGTTCCCACTGGGTGGTGCCATTTTCCCTGTGTATAGCCAGTGCCTGGCAGCTACTTGCACATTTCATCAGTATTTAGTGTAATTTGTGTTCCACTTTTGAAAATTATCTGGGATTTTACTTGTTTCTCCCATTGCAGTCTTGTTCTGAAGTAGGTGGTGACTATGAAGGGACACAAAGCACAACTGGATGTTGATAGTTGAATGCACATCATAGGCATTTTGTTCCTGCGAGGCTGTTGCTTTCTGGACAATGCTAGATGCCTTAACACCTTTCAGATATGAGGAAGCTTAATGAGTAAAAGTGGAGAACTTCGAAATCTACTACTCACTACCTCTGTAAGGAATGGAAAGAAACTTCTGTTTACCAAGTGCAATAGCTCCTGATGTTTTGTTCTTCAGCCCCCTCTAGACATATACTTAGCATGCATGATTGCAATTAAATGGTAGCGAGTTTCTCATTACTTTCTGTCTGTGTGTCAGCATTAACCAGCTTATACTGAGTAGACTACCAGAGATCAATACAATAACAGAGAGTTGCCCATGAAATTGCAACATCAGAAGAATAAAAATAGATATGTATACTTGCATTCCTCTGGATTTGGCAGGTATGTGTCTCTTCGTACACACAGAGATAATCAGCGTCCAGTTCTGACTGCTGTTAAAGCCTTATTAAAACATTTGTGGTTATAATGGCAAAGTTACAATAAATGCATTGTTTATGCAAATACTTTATTTACCATTTTCCCCATCACCAAGTGACAGCAGCACATAATAGAGGTCAAGAATTTATTGTCAGTGGCAAGAAGCACTGAAAAGTGACAATAACTGGGATAATACTTTGGTTAAGATATTGCCATGGTCACTATTTTGATGTGGCTTGTTTCCTACCTGTACTTCAGTTATCTCTTCTGGTATGGTAGAAAGTAGCAATCAGTATTAGAAAATACAATGCCATAGAGATTTTTCAAAGCAGTTAGAAAGACTCTATTACGTTATACATTTTGTTGCTTTCAACCGTTATTCTATCATCTGTATTTCCTTTAGTCTTATTTCCACTATCTGTCAGAGAAGAGCCTCTTCTTTACATGACGTGGATTTCCTGTTAGTTTCTTTTCTCTGACTTAATCTACATCATTAGACTGGGCATTTGGTTAAAAACTCTTAGTATGGTAGAAGCTTCCACTGAGAAACACCTGTACCTAAGCAGACCTAGAGAGAGAAATAAAGCATATATTTTTGAAAGTTGCCTTTGAAAATTCTTATTTTCTTATATCTAATTTGAAAAAGAAGAAAGCCTTGGTGATTAACAGCATGAAGTGCTGAAAAGGGCTTTCTTATAAACCGTTTAGTTCTAATAATGGCATAATTAAAAATTATAAAAAGAATTCTCTTAGGGGTATACTAATAGACTAAAAAATTTCAAATTCAGCCTGGATTTTAAGAGAATTAAAACTTATTTCACTGGTTATATATATCAGCTCTACCAAATGAGAAGTTGAAAGTTGATTTAAGTTTGGTAAAAAATAAACATACAGGGTATGATACAAATGGTTTTCTGGTTTCGAGGTATCTATTTGGCCTGGCAAATGCAAGGAAACACTTCTGGAAATCAAACCAATTGTGAAGGAGTTCCCGAATGAGGTGTGGCAAACTAACAATTTTGTCTTACATTAACACTAGGTATTTAAGTGTACAATATATAGAAGTATAAATATACAATAAATTCATCTCCTCTTTACTAAAAGGAAGTTTATTGGCAGCAGAAAAAGTAGCCTTGTAATCAGAGGAAGTATTTATTAAGCATACAAGTAGGGTTTGGTACATGCCACACCAAATTGGTGCTGTTTGTCAGGGCAACTACTCAGGGGCTTGGCTGAGACTTGAGGAAGGTGGGACTCCAGAGCCTGTGGCAGACTCAAACTGGCAAAATACTTGACCTCACTCAGTTCAATCAATAGCAATTCAGCCTTGGCAGGACTAAAACAGATCCTATTTCAAAACATCAGAGAGTGAATTTTGTTCAGACAGGCAGCAGGGAGACTTTTGTGACAGAATCTGGTGTAAAGGGTAAGTAAATTTGCATATTGTGAGTATACTGAAGTAAGTTCAGTTACAGTGATGTGTGATAACGACACATGCAGTAGCACATTCAGATAACTGAGAATTGTGTCCAAAATAGGGCTTGAGGCTTTTCTTCATTGTAGTGTTGGTATGAAAGGTAAGGAAACTAGCAAAAACTTAATCTTTTAAATGCTTTATTTTGGAGATTTTTTTTTTGTATGTTTCCTTTACTTTCTGTTGCTTTATTCCTCTTTTTAAAAAGGAATCTTTCATTCCTCTGTCCTTCTCTGTTTCTCTGTCCCCAGAGTGTTGATAGTGCTTATAATATTAAACTCTTCCAGGGGAATTTCTAGACATGAACTTAAGATATTTGTTTACCTTGTTAAAGGACCTCATTTAATATAGCAAATGGAATTACTTAAAATATTTCGGCGTAGGTAAAATTTTGAATTTGCATGTAAACTGTGCTGGTTCATGCAAAATTTATGACAAAGATTATAGGAGTTAGTCTTTGCTCTTACTGATTTGTGAGTAGGTGATCTGAAAATTGCCTGGGTGTTTGCGTTTGGGTTGGTTAGTTGCCATTGAAGCTAACGTGTGTATCTAAGTAGCCCTGTAGTTTTTTCAAAGGTAGCAGTGAACTGAGAAACGCACCTTGCTGGAGTTTAGAGGTTTGGAAGTCTTATACCTGTGTTTTAGGGTCTGGCTAAGGTAGGGATGAGATACACAGCACCTTTATGTCTGCTGTTGTGCCTTGGAGTTCCTAGGTACCTTCTCTTACACTGCAGAGAACAGAAAAAAGACCGTACTCCAGCAAGGTGTGCAAAAAGCTGGTAGCTGGAAGAGAGCGGCTGAGCAATGCCTTTGCTGCAAAGAGCTCTGCAGAGGCAGTTGGAGAGGCAATCTTATGATATTCATTCATTCATGTGGTTTTTTGTTCACCACTCTTAGTAGTGATGAGAAATTTCATTGACCCAGATTTTGCTTTGTATCTTTTAAGATCAAGCTGGTAATTTCTCTACACTGACTATTTTGTGCAATCTGTGTGGAGTTCTCTTCTATGTCAAGAAGAGTCTGTGCTGTTGGCAGACTGTTAGATTATACTTTTTTCATCTCTGCAGTAGAGCTGTAATAGAATAGTAACTGCAGAGCTGTAATAGAATAGTAATGGCAGGTTTTCCTTTGCATTCTGTTGTTGTTCATCATTAGATCAAGTTTCAGAACATCCTCTTCCAGTCTCTGCTTACCTTCTTCCAGTCCTATATTTGTAGACATCTTGTATTACTGTATCTTCATCTGTTTTTCACAGAATCAATGAGGTTGGAAGGGACCACGAGTCACCTGCTCCAACATCCTGCGCAAGCAGGCTCAAAATCAAAGTTTTCCTTTGTTTTGTTCTGGTCTTTGTCTTTTGCTAGTGCCATTTATCAGTTATATGGACATCTTTGGTTTTATTCTTTTGTTTATTTGTTTGTACAGCCACTTCTTATGCCACTTGGATCATCCTTCATATGCATTAAACAAGGAGCCATACCTGCAATCATGCAGATTTTGAAAGAGCCCTCTGTGAGACTTGTGCTCCAGGTGGGGCTACTTGGTTGTTTTGCTCTCCATCAGTTCCCTGCATCAGTGGATTCTGCTGCACAAGCATTTGCAGTAGAGAGCAACAAGTGGGTTGCAAAAGCAGTGCAAAACTTTATAATTTAATGCCTAGAAACTTGTTATGTTTCTCTTTCAGATAAGCATTTTCACTGTGAAGAATCAGAAAGATGGATTTTAAATAAAAAAAATATGGACCTTTTTGAAGGAAAAAAAGTGCTATCCTATCAGTTAAACTAGAACATGTTCTTTTAATAAACTCTTCCAAAATTATTTTGTTCTTTAATTAGGAAAGCCAACATGATCAATTAACAGGAGGATCACTACTGTTCATATATTTGACTTACCCTTTTTTATGGTTGAATTTTATGTGTTTTCAAATGATTGTGTATTTGCCTCCCAACAATAAATAATTAAACCTATGTTTTGCTACTTAGAACAATATAAATAAAAAAAAGATAAATAAAAATACTGATATAGAAATGGGTTTAGCTGTAAGAACATATATTTGCTGTTAGGTAGGTCCTTCACTCAAAGGCCATTTGTGCTCTCTTTTTTGCGAAGACAAGCAGGTGAATGGAAAACATTTGATTTTCTTTGCTTTACTCTTGGCTATAGGAACTGAAAAGTTGAAATGCTGTTAAAATTCCCCCAAATCTTTTAGGCTGCACAATGTTTTCTTAACTATAAAAAAAAATAAATCACCCAAATGATTGTTTATTTCCTATTAAAAGTACCTGGAAGCCTACCCAGTGGTCTAGTGTTACGTGCTGTGAGCAACGTGTGTGTTCTGAGACTAGAGTTCTTGTCTTGCAAACACTGATGAGGAGACACACAGGTGCTGTGCCTGACCAGAGTGTTTAAATGGGAATCGTGATGAATTCCCACTGTGGAGACTGGTGGAATCATGGTGGATTTATTCAAAGTATGTTCAAGTCTTTGTACAAAGTTTGGGTAAGCTTGGGGAAACTAGTTAGGGGGACAGATGTATTTACCTATGCACCAAAAAGGTGCTGGTAAAGATGTGACGTACATTTGGGGTCCAGGGAGCATATTGGATTGTAGCAAATTGTACCCTGGGCCTTCTCTGTTTGTGCTGTGCCAGCCACTGATGTAGGAGCCTTCTGACAGATGTGGTTGCCCAGCACACTCAGGATAGCCTTTGCAGCTTGTAGGTGGGGTCTTTCCCATCTTCAGGTACAGAAACTAAACTTCAGCACTAGGCCTTCAGTTTTGGTAACTTTATGAAAAACTTTGTGTATTTGAGAAATGAGCAATGAAGCTTAGTGAATTTTCTGTCAGAAAGGGCTGCTGTGTCTGACTTCTTAGAGAAGTCACTTAGAAAATCCAGAGAAAATTTCAGATAAAGCAGATAATGGGACCTGTGGGGTAGGACGAACTTTAACCTTAAGTGGATTAAGAAGTTGGTGTGTGTATGACCAGCTCCAGTCACAACCAGGCATGTTCAGACTGCATACAGGCACTTCTGTCTGCACTGGCCACTGTCTTTTCTTTCTGGTGCCTGAGCAGAAGGTAAGAAATTAGAAAGGGCAGCAACACCTTTCTGATGCACTGAGTCAGATTGTGCTGACCTTAGTCCTACTACCTTCATCACACACGCAGTTTCCTCCCAAGCTAACCAACCACACCAGCAGCCCTGGAGTAGAGAGCAAGAGAAGAAGTGATGGTCTTTGATCTGTGATGCTGTTTGTTGCTGCCTGGAGCTAACACCCTCTGCCCAACTTGCTGTCCTAGGCTTGAGAAAGTCCTCACGTTCCAGGAATTCACATTCAGAATAGACTTTGCATGACCTACTGGGTTGAGGGAGGGGAGAATAAATGTCTAGATATTTATCCTGCCTCTGAAAGCTGTTTTGTTCTTGGCATGAGCTCTTATAGTGCCTGCGAGAAGTCTTGGGCTGGCTCTTCTAAGCCTGAGTCTGATGGAAACATTTATGTGACAGAGTACCACAAAGGTCCTGTAAGGACTCTGCTCCATCAGCAGAGGTAAGGGGGCTAAGATGAGATTAAAGAATGTTTTTCGTGGACGTACCTCTCAACATGAGGTGATGGCACCTTGCTTCAGGCAGAGGAAACTCATGAGAAGATATTTAAGAAAGCAGGAGTGGAAACGGAAGAACTGAGAGTTATCCTGCTAACCATTTCTGCTTATTGCCCCATCTGTGCCTGTTTTCCTAGCTGTATACATTCTGCAAATATAAAACAGAACATTTAAGTGATGCTTATTGTTTTCTGTTTAAAACACAGCTTATGATCAATTACCTTGAACAAGAACTGACTTAATTGGCTGACTTTTATTTTTGTATTAAATGACTCTGGAAGATAAAAGTTGAGAGAATTCAATCTTCAGTCTTTTATAGCAGCTCTAAATTATTGATGAGTTCTGCAATAATCTTCAAAACTTGTCACCTGGCTCTACTTCTGGAACTGTTTCCCTGCATTGTTGTTTTATGGAATCCAAAATATCATGGTCTTCCTGTGACAAATTGTGCTAGCAGAAGCACAATGTGAGCTAATACAACAATGTGGGTTTTTTTTGAAACTTATTTGTTAAATGCATCTTGTGAAGCAAACTGTGGTGAGAAGCGCTTGTGTAATCATGTGGGTATTACCTGGGTAGTGAGATCCTCATCTTTTGTGCTTATTGCCTATTTTCATAACTCTTTTAAGAAATATAGTGATTTCAGCTCCCTGAATGCAGTCTGCTGTGGTCATACTGTTCCCTAAATTGGTCTTTCTTGAAGATGGTAGCACTCTCTCCTTCCTGTCTGAAATAATATCACATATGAATATATGTTGAATATGTGTTCATATACGTTCTGTTGCACAGACATCTTATTTCAGTAAGAAGGTTGTTAATTCATAGATCAGTATATAATGTCAGGAGTAGTAAAGAGCTAGGCAATTCTCATGAAATATGCTATAAATGCAATTGTTACTGTTTACCTGATTATTAAAGGCAAAATAGAAACATACCTTTTGAGATTTCTGTTTGACTGTAGGCCACAGTGGGAAGGTGAGATTGAGTGGTGCAGTGATAAATGATGATTACAGAAGAAAGCTTTTCAGAATGAGGTTTGACAAAACCTCTTTGAGGGAACAAATAAAACAAATGTCTCATGGCAATTTACTCTTGTCCTTACTTCCATAGGTGCCTGTAGGCTTTGTAAGGGAATTAATAATGATGAAGGTGTTAAGGTTACCAAGCAAGGAGGTTATTACCATTTAAGAAAGCAGATCACAGAGAAGAAAGGCAAAAAAAGAAACAAGAATTAAAGCTGGAGAAGGAGGAGAAGTAGGATGGACAGCAAAACTGGCAGACTGCAGTAGAAAGCACGTGGTGGTACAATTGAGATCATGAAGACAAGAGTGAGGGTTTATTGCCTGGAGGACTGACTAGCAGCTTGAGGAAAGGAATAATTAAGCAGGAGGGAGAGACCATAGATTGTGCTTGCAAAAATTCACGCAGAAACCCTGGTGCAAGAGGAGCAACGGCAGTGAGCAATGGAAGGGGAAGTATGTGAGGGAGCCAGAGTGGGTACACGGGCATTCATGTACAAGGAAAAACAGAGCTGGGAGTAGCATAAAAGCCAGAGATCAAAAGTGGGTCAGCCAGAGTCAAAACTTAGGGTGCAGTGAGGTCTGGCGGCTCCCAGTGGACTAGGATTGGCAGCCAGGGACACCAGGGCAACCCCAGCCCTGAGCATTGGGCACCTCCCTTGGGACAGGGCTGAGGGTGGGACAGGACATGGGCCTGTGGGCAGGTGGGGGTCAGGATCAGACACAGCTTTGTGATGCGGGGAAGGGCCACGGTGATGTGCATCTCTGCAGACAGTTGTCAGAAAGTAAAATGGGGAAGGCAAGATGTGGTTGTATTTTCTCGAATACATGAAGTCAGTTAAATGTCATAAACATCCATAGATTTTGTTACACTGTGGTATTTGTTCATATATACTGCTGTCTTTACGTATTGTTTAAAAGTGGTAAGAATATGCAAATAATTAGAAATGTGAGATAAAAATATAGTGGTAATATTTTAGCTTCTGTAGCTAGGTAATGATCTTCCTCACCTTATTTATCAAAAGCTGTGTGATGCAAAATGGTTCAGCTTTCTGCCTAGGATTTTATTTTTCTTTTTGGTAAATAATAATGTTTCACAATTATGATAAAACGTGCATATCATCTGGAAAAAAGAAGATGGTTTGAGCTTTAGTATTAAATATTAGTCTTACTCTCTGATCAATGCATTAATACATCTCCCCAAATGCTCTTGCTCTAGCAAATTTCCCTAAATGTGATGTTTGGAAACTGGTTGTGCATTTACGTGCAATGTGAAATTGAAGATATTCCTGTGGGCATAATTTTACTCAGAAATGTTTTAACATCATTAATAATGTATATGTGTAACAGACTTAAGCAAGCCATAGACTAGGTCACTTCTGATCTGCACAATAATTATTCCTACGTGCAATTAGTATTACAGTAAGTATGTAAGAATGGGGCAGGAGAATATACATATACTATATTTTTGGAGGCTAGATAACCTTTTGATTGATGACACAACCCAGTTCAATTCAAGTTGCTTACTCTGGCGTGGTGTTAAAAATTGGTTTTCTGACTAAAGCTCGCACTATTTCTGTAAGAGAAGAGGAAGGGGTAATGAATATTAGTGGAAAACTATAAGAAAAAATTCTTATTTTAAACAAGGCTGTTTTAGGTAATTGTGATCATTCACCCTTGCAGATGTGACCATCTCTCTAAGGGTCACTTTAGGCAACTTTTAGTGTGTATGAACAGACTCTGAAAGTGAGATTTGCATCTGAAGACAACAGATTGTTTGTCAGTCAGCAAACATAAAAGTCAGGTAGGTTTTAATGAGCTCCTAGACTAAGCATCCGTATGTATCTGGTCTGTGACAGGACTCTGAAGAGTCTTTGCTGGCCAGGCAGATGTGAATGAGGTAGAGGGGCCACCCTTCTCTACTCCCTGAAACAAATCTTCATCACTAGGTTGCTGTCTGCCACCTTCTTTGGGATTTGATGCCTTTCCGCGTTGATGTTTTTCCTCTAGAATCCTTAAGCTGGTAACAAGTCTCATGTCACCAGTCCTACTTCTGTTTCTGGTTTCACCTTTCTGACCTTGCACAGTCATCCTCTGAGCTTTCCCTGAGGTCTTTCCCATATCTTTGCCACTCTGTAGAAGTCAGCCTAAGGCAAGGTGAGACTGCTGTGGCATGTCAGAGCTAGACCTTGGGCCACAGCAAGATGGACCCCCCAGAGGGAGGTCACACAGTAAGAACATTAAATGCTGAGGTCACATATTAGCAAACATCAAATGAGGAACTTAAATTAAATTAATTATTCCTGAAATTTGAAGTCTTTGGGAGTCTTATGCACCTTTAAAGGGGTTTTTTGTTTTAATAATTTGCAAAAAACTTGTTTTAATGCTGAACATTTGCTTTGTGGCAGTGCTTCTGTTACCACTATTTCGGGTGTTAATAATATGTTATGAGAAATGCAGTTTGAAGAGGCAGCAAACGTGACTCCTGGCCTTAAATGCTCAGTTCAAACCTCCCAGCAAATCTTTTGGAAGATTATCCAGATACACAGTCTGCAATTGTCCTTTCTTCTATTTTAGGTAATGGGCCCCATCATGATCGAAGTTGTGTTTACAACCAGAGCAATATAGTAGATGGAGTTTACTGCCTCCCAATAGCACACTGGATTGAAGTCTCTGGACATACTGATGAGATGAAACATACAACTGACTTCTATTTTAATATTGCAGGACATCAAGCTATCCATTACTCCAGGTAAAAGAAAAGTGCAGTTTGGCTGGTGTCAAATATTCAAACAGAAAATCTGAACTGGCATGTCAGAAAACTGCATTTGAAGTAATGAATATTTGTTTGTGTGTAAGTGTCAGTAAAATTTGAGAAAGATTCAGCACCTCTTTGCAATTAAATGTCACTTTTGTTAATAAAAGGGAGAGATCCTGAGTTCAAGGATACCTGCACCCTGTACAGGTGTGTTGTGTCATATCTGAAAACATTTTGTGGTAATTTATGGATAGTAATTTTCAAAAGCTTGTCTATATACACATGTAAAATTGCATGTATGTTATGTGTTTTGTTTGGGATTATTTTAGTGAAGAACATCTGGGAAACAAAAAGAATAAATTCCAGCACCAGGAATTTAGTTGTGCCAGCAACTGCAGTTAGTGACAGCCACTGTAGATGACTTCTGCTTCTTGGCATGTATTTAACAAAATACTAAAATTTAGACACGTCTTAAAATGTTTGTACTTCCATAGTGTTCACCCGAGTCCACTGTCCCTGCGGTGAAGCATCCTGGCTTGAATTAGGAGATGTAAAGCTCAAAGAGGGCATTCACCCTTTAGGACTGCAGATGAAGCACAAGCTGTATTTAGAGCAGCAGCCTTAGCACTGGTGATTAACAGAGTACTGAGGAATTTTGGAGCCTTTTAACCTCTTTCCCCATCTCCACTCAATGGATCTGGCAGCAAGTTTGTGGATTGATAATGGTTCTATAAATGCTGGCCACCTTGTTACATTGCATACAGCTGGTACTGGTTACAGAGCAGTTAGTGATCGCAAAGGGATATGTATTTTTTTAAGAAATCAAACCACCTCATATGTTCATTAGGTCTTAGCATTACTTTGTGTGAATTTCTCCAGATCTTGTCTTCTCTTTGAACTCTTTGTCTCCACAATCTCATAGGGTAGGAAGTAGAATTGTCTTTTTCTGATTAGAATTGAAGTGTGTGAGGGAAAGACTTATTTCTCTTGTATCTTATGGAATATCATGGATTCACAAACACTGTCATGCATATGTAGGTATTTGTGTGACTTGTTACTTTTTCCATGAGACCCCCTCACGTGACAGACTAAAGTGTTATCTAGATCTTGAGCATCTGTTTCCAACATCCTATCAGAGAAAAATCATGTTTATTCCAAAGCACAGACTTGTCAATCCCAAATAATCTTTGTTTGGCAGAGAATTTTTTTGAGAAAGAACAACTGTCAGAAAGTGAATATCTAAGTCCCAAAGGCTAACTTATCTTTCCTTCCAGAGGCAGCAGTGATCCATTTGTTGCTGCTTTATCTGAATGACTGTGTATTTCAAAAATTAGGTAAAAAGCTGCAAATTCTGCTAAAGAATATTTGAAGAAAATTTTCTGAGCTGTTTAGTCTTCTCCAGATGAGAAGCTCCTCCTCCATTCCCCTCTCATATACACATACCTTCATTGAAAAGCAACTTTGTATGTGCATCTTAGTAATTCTTATCTGATTTCTTTGAGCTGTGTTAAGTTAGCATACCCTGTAACAGTCTTGTTGCATAAATACTTTTAATACTTTGAAGATATGCAGCCTTAAATGTCTTTTTAAATTATTAACAATTGGGGGCAGATTCACAATTCTGCTCTTATAATAAAGCAGTCAAAAAATACTGAGTAATTTATATTTGGCATAGCAGCTGAAGTGAGCTGATGAAAATGCCTTTATTTTGTAATAGATTTATATGAAGATCAATGTAATAAAAAAAAAAGAAAAAAATCATCGACATACCACCTCTCCCCCTCCCCCTCCCCCAAGCAACCAAAAACCCAAACAGAAGCAAAAAGCCAGTCCCTGTGCCTGTAAAAGTTAAAAGCTTAGAGGCTTCACTGTAGTGGAGGCTGTGGTACTGCGAGGAGCTTTATGACCAACAATTCTGAGTCCTGTCACCAGTTGTAGGATTTTTACAGAATGGTAGAGGCTGGAAAGAAGTGATTTATCAAAGAAAACTTTTGATGTGAGCCCTGCCTCTACCTTGCTCCACTTAATAGGATTACCATGTGTGAATTAGCTGGAGAGAAAAGTTTTTCTCTGTCAAAGAGGCCTCTCACCTGAGCCCTGGGACTGATTTTACTTCTCCTCTGCTTGATCACAGCAATTAGAAACAGTTGCTCTGAGTTTTGCTGCCACCTTGCTGCTTCATAAAACATGAGCTTCTACTTTAAAGGGGCTGCAACAGGATGAGAAGAGTGTGCTGACTAGTGCCAAAAATAATTTTGAATCATGCTGAGGCTGTCGACAGTGCTTTGAGGAATCAGATTTTTCTTATTTGATACAGATATATCGCTCATAAGTCAGTGAATTTATGTTTGAGCTTATATTTAGAGAACTCACTTTGTTTTGGTCAGGTAGGAGAGCATATGGTGTGGCTTTTAAGCATAGTAAGAGATGAATTAATTTTTTGTAAGTGTGAAATGGAGTTTTCCTACAGCTTAAGAGTCATGACTGACACCTCCATGGTGTTAGTATTCACTTATTTTGGACATTTAATGACACATATAACCAAAACTAGATTCAGAAAAAAAAAATAGCATTCAGTTTTTCTTTTGTGTTAGATATTACTGCAATAAGGTGCCTTCAAATTGCAGGAGAGTTCACTTAGGACACAGTAGTTTTCCAAAGTAAATTAGAGTTATTGTAATCTTTTCTGGGAGAAGATAACTTCAGAAAACTTGTAAATCTGGGGCATGTTGTCTCTATTTCAGTTCCATCTGTGAAAGGTGGAAATTCCTAATTCGTAGATGTTATATACCTTATTATTAATATAAAAGCCTCTGCAATTCTCAGAAGAAAGGAATTGCATAAGAACAAGAGAGGGAGTGACAACTGAAATTACAGAATACTTCAATAATATGTTGGAGACGATGCTTGATGGCAGAATTAGGTGCTATGGAAATGAATATCTCCAGTAGTAAAAGCCTTATACTTACAGTTTTCTATTTTCAGATTAATTTTAGGTATGTGCTTTTTGTGAGTCATATTTCTCAAATCTGAGGAAGAAAAATAATTTTTACATGCTTTGCATGTAAAATGCAGCTAACCTGGATTCTATAAGTGAATTCCTCAGACAACAATGATAGCTAACCTGTAACTGAAGCATTGTATGGCTGCTAAACGTTTTAGAGGAAAATACACAATCTGTAACAGGGGAGTCACTGCATGAGTAGCCATGGGTCCTGACAACAACTTTTGGAGGTACATTTTTTATAGTAGTTTTTTTTGCATTTAAATATTAAGGCTACCAAACACTAATATTTAATGTTTATGGAGTTATTTGGTTCCTGTAAGTGGATATAATCCAAGAAATCACGAAGCTGGCAAGTGTGTTGCTATCATTGTTTGTGTCCCTAATTTTTTTCCCCTAAGACAAAACAAAGCTAAAGATAGAAGAAAATTGACTCTCATGCCTGGAAATACTGTTTTTGTTTCTTGATGGTTGCAAATGAAACTTAATTTATGATGTAGTCTTTACAAATGCTTTGCGGCTTGTGGGTAAGATGTTTCCTTCAACACTGCTGCAGTAATAGTAATGGAGGTTATAACCTGAGCTAAGTGTTAAGTGGGAATGGTCAGGAGCATCACATTAAATGTGTGTTCCTGATTTGTGCTAAGTGTTAATGTATATAGGTGAGTGAATGAAGAATGATCCAGGGCAAAATGCAGATGCTTCTTATTTGCCTTTTGAAGGCACTAGAGCAGTATTCTGCTGATAGAGCACAGAGCATCTTTAATTGGGGTGGAAGACAAGAATCTGGCTGAGTATATTTGGTTCAGTATGAAATCAGAATTACCTTTGAATTGTGCAACTGAAAAAGAATATAAGCAACAGTGCTTTTATTTGTTTTTACTCTTTAATTTTTCTTCTTACTGGTTTTAATTCATTCACAAAATAAAATATCCTTCTGTTTTAAATGTAATTTTGAAGTATTTTTTTTAATTACCGAATTATAAAAAAAGGCTTTAAAGAGTAAGCTGTCACAAAAAACCCTGGAGTGCTGTGACCTATGCTACTGTAACAGAAAGCTGCACTGATATTTTATGCCTACATTATGAATTAAGAGAAGAGGTGATGATGTCTACAAAGATTACCGTAATTAACATTAAAAGAGGAGAGTTAGCTATCCCCTGTGCCTAAAGAATGCTTGTGATATTAGAGAAAAGACTAAGAAATAATGAGCTCTGGAACAAAAGTTGTCGATTTTATTCTGGTAAAATAGTCCTGATCAAAAAGACTTAACATCAATAGGAGTTCAGCCTTTGATTTCAGTACTTGGGGCTCTAACTGTAAAGTTATCTGACCGTATTATACACTAAATAATGAAAATATTCCAAGGCACATTTTGTGATATGTTTATCCCATGAACTAGGATATCTGACTACTCTTTGAATATTTTTTTATTATACTGAGATATAGTCTGAAACTAGTCTAAATTAGAGCCATTTTTTACTTACCAATGGGAAACACCTTTTATAGAACAGCTTAACGGGTAATTCTATTTTTTGTTTCTTGTATATCTTCACTTTTTTTCTACATCACCCTCAACTATAGCTGTGAAATGCTTTTACTAGTCTCTGCTTTGAAGAAAATGGGTTTCAAATTAGTGTAAGAAGTGACATTTAAGCAATTTTTTATTTAAGTTCTTGAAAATTAAGAGGGAGTGTGAAGAAATAGGAGCAAGAATGAGAAGACAAATTATATGGCTAGAATTTGATCAGTTTTTAAAGTCCTTATTTATTTCCATTAATTTAATTTGGGTGATCTCTGTATTGGGTAACAAATGCATTTTTCTTCCACATTTGTTGCTCATGCAAACAAGAAGCTTCTCCTTTCATGAAATCCCCACACTTTACCCTTCATAACAGTGGCTAAAAACTTGAAAACTGATTCGATTTTGCATGGTCAGGATGGCACCTGACTTGGGATAGCCTAAACCAGGCTGTTGGCAATTTATATA